ACAAACAATTTTCATTACGATAAGAGATCAAACCAGATACAAAATTATCATCAAAAAAATAAAAAAGGCAATATTTTATTTTTACCTATACGGGGATTGAACTCGGCTACGTGGATGAATAAACGATGCTGCTACCACTGCGCAACGCTTTTAAATACTATTAAAAATAAATAAATATTTAAGAGTTTTAGTGTAAAGATATAAACTTTAATTAACTATAATATCAAAACTAAGTTCTTGCGCCAAATTCTAATTTTACCATCATTTTTTTCACCCAAAAAATGACAAAGTCCCCTAAAAAAATTGCCAAATTTTTGGGTGTCCTGTAAACTAGAAATGTTTCTATAGTTAATCAGTACTAATTTTAACAACAATAGGTAGGTAATAGTGCACATAGCAAATTTTTATTTTCTTGAAAAATTCATAAAAATATCTTCATTAAAAAATATTTCAGAGGTAAAGGTGACAATTTAATAGGCTGAAAATATAGTCATATATTATTCAATATTAAACTTATATAAATATATAGTGGCGTGGTCCCGAGTCTCAACCCTTCCCAGAAAAAAAAAGGTTCAAAAGTCATAAATGGCTTACTACGAATATACAGAGAAAGAGAACATTAATTTATAACATGTGGTTGTAAATAAATCTTCATTTGTATTTATAATTATAATAGAATAATATAGTTATTAATTCATACCTTATACATATGTATCTTTAATAATAGTATAAAATCGCTTATTTTTTAGAAAAATGTTATGTATTATCGAATAGAATAAAGAAACATCCGCATACACATACACTAATACCACATAATCCTCAAAATTACAATTTTTGAAATGTTCAATAATTATGATCTGATCAATGAGTTTATAATCAATATTAATTCTTTGAACCTGTATAACATTAAGACACATAAATTGTGTCTTAATACAATATACATTTCAATTGACATGTAAAAGTTATCATCTTGTATAAATAATTAATTATTCTACATATTAAATATTAAATCTATTGAGCCACATCCTTTTATTGTTATACTATCATGTGAATTTTAAATAAGTTGTTTAAATTATAATCAAAAAATCTATAGTCATTAAACTATTTATTTATTACAGAAACCTATAACTAAAAAATTATTTATTCACATTACCTAATGCAATTTTATACCCTCTAAGATTTCAATAGTAATACTGGGTTTTAACCAATGCACATTCGATACAATTTAAAACTATTTATTCAAGTTTAGTTGTATTACTAAATCTGAACATGATAAATAATTCATAAAAAATTTTTTATGTGATTTAATATTTTGATAAAACAACTTCAAATAATATAATGAGATGATCTTAACATTTGCTATTAACTAATAATTAGGTCTTCTATCGATAATATTATATTAAATCCTAATTAGTATTTAAATTCATAGATTACCAATCAGTTATAATTATTTCCGCCCAAAATGAAAAAATAATGAAAAAATGAAAAAAGTCTCCAAACAATTGTGAAATATTGTTAGTCTGTTAAACTTCACTTGATAGTTAGAACGTCCGCTTTATGACATTCATGCTGATTATCAAAAATCAACATTTTGTAATTGGTATTATGATTTTTATATCTAAATTTAATTAGTCGACAAATAAAAACAGTTTATAAAGTAAATACTGCAAGAATAATATTACTATAGTCAATGTTATATCTATTTTAAAAACAACAGAAAAAGTGTACGACAAATAATAATACGAACAATTAACTATTAATAAGTTTTTATATTATAAAACAGACAAACCTTTTTTGTTCATTATTTGATGGCATTGTCAAGTAATGGCGCCAACGTATTTCAAAATACCTATAAAAAAATAATGTCATAGATAACTTTCTTCCACCTAATACTTTAAAATTATATTTATCTGTACCAAAAAATTATAATATTAATGTTTTAAACTTGTCTTATTAATGTCATTTGATAATGGATTTGATTAACTTGTTAGTTGATAGGATAGATAGTCTTATTGAACAAAAATATAAATAGTTTCATCATAATCTTCAAAAATATCATTCATATACACATGATAATAATGTAAATAAATTTCTGTAATTTTTCACAGGTAAATTATTTTAATTGTCAAATACTTATGTATTTTGCAGTTCTAGTGCATCGATTAGTTTGCATTGAAATAAAAATCATTCAATACCATAAAATAAGTCTTATCTCGGTTTGGTTAAGTTATTAATCTCACATGGGATCCTAACCTAGGGTGTACACTGTTCACTTTGCAATGACTTAATTAATAAGAATTTGTCTCAGATGTCAGATGTTTAATTTTTAAGTCAAATAATTGATAGGAGTGTATCTATTTAACTTAATTAATGTAATTTTGAGTTATTGGTTTTTATTATATTAATTTGTGATTAAAAACAATGACATCTTAGGTCTATGGAATATTCAATAACATGATTATTCTTACATAATTTTATAGTTTGTATAATAATGTAAAGTATTAAACACAAAATCCATATTTAAAGATAAATATAAAATAATAGTCGTTAATATTAGTAAGAGTTTTTGTAATATATATTATAATTAAATATACCGCACATGTTCCATTCATATTAGTCAAGATTAGGGGAAAAAATTATTTTTATAAAGTTACTAAATGTTTGTGGTGAAGTAGAAATATTCTAATTAAAGGGTAATTTAAAATTATTATTTTTGAATTATTATTATTATTCAGTAGTCTTAAATCAACCGCCAAAAGACTTCGAAGAACAACGATATACGAATTATAAGACACATTGATAATGTACCTATATTATTGTTCAATATTCAATATTAAAATCGATTTGGGTTGTTCAGTTCGAATTCAGAAAATACTAATACTTTAAATAGGTACTCGACGTTTCAGTAAATTATTAGCATAGATATGTTTTAGCTATGAGGGTTAATCAAAAATTTGCTTGGACATTTTATGGCAATACATACATAGAATAATTATTAAATACATATATAGTTACACGTTTGTATAATATAAATATATATAATACACTAAATTTATATACACATATAAAGAAAGAGATAAAGATTTAATCAAGTGAATATTTATCTGTAGATATATAGATGTAAATGAACAATCTCAAAATTCAAAACTATTCCCAAGTTTTTTTACTGTAGCAGAGAAATTTTACAATTTTATTTCTATAATGGATTGGGTGTATATTTATCGAATTTTATATGATTTTTTAATACTTAATAGTTTTGGAAATGTTGGTAGTACGTCGATATTGGTTGTTTATCTTCTTACAAAATATACAATTTTAATTCCTAAGAACATGCTTTACCCAATACCTAATACTATAACTCTAATTAATATTTATCATGTAAATATTGTATGTAATCCCGTCTATGTTGCTGTATTATATTGCGTATTCCTATTATTAGTTTAGCAATGTCCACGACTCCTGAAATTCATTTTCCGGCTTCAGTCGTATGTTGAAATTCACGTAATGATGTAAAACGTTACGTGCGTACATACAATAATAAACACATAATACCTATAAATACAAATACAATACACACACACACACACATACACACACACACATACACACACACACACACACACACACACACACACACACACACACACACA